TTATTTGCTGTCTCCAACGAACAGGAATTTGACAATGAATTGAAGGAGGTCCGCTTGGACGACAGTGGTATGGATATTAACGTAATAGCTTACGGGGTAGACGGGCGACGTTTTAAAATGGATCCGGATGAATATAGTGAATTCGACGAAGAGGCATTGCAAGATTTCATGGCGAAACTCAATACTGGTAGGTTCTACAACTAAACTAAATGCTACGCAATGTTGGCCAACATTAGGTCGGATAAAGGCTTTCACCAAATCGGAGAAGCCACCAAGAGCACAAACTGGACCCGTAACGGTAGTTGTAGGTTCCACCTTCCGGCGTATCGTTTACGACGAGAGTAAGGACGTGCTAATAGAGCTTTACGCTCCTTGGTGCGGACATTGCAAAGTAAGAGCGTAAGGAATTTTCGAAGTTTTATCTTTTACGAATCGTAGGCGTTGGAACCCATCTACGAAGAGCTTGCCAAAAGTTTAAAATCAGTCACGGGTGTTGTTATTGCGAAAATGAACGCTGTCGACAACGACAGCGATTCAAACTACCCCGTAGGCGGCTTTCCAACCATTTACCTGGCATTGAAGGGACAAAAGAAGAAGCCGATCCAATACACCGGAGAACGAACCGTTAAAGCAATGACTGACTTTCTCAAGAAACACTCTGACGCGTTTTCGGAAAAGTCGGAACTATAGTTTTGTTGTTAACGTTGCCAAATGAATTCTATGCAATCTTTTTCCAATTTGTTAAACGTTTATTAAGCCATTCTCACTTCCTCACATCATCTGTTCGTACGGAACAACATGGATCCACTTTGGCTTGTTCTTCCTTGTACGGACCACGTGTGCCGCCCGAGGACCTTCCGGCTGAAATTTCAGAAAACAAGTTTTTAAGCGCTGTCCTGAAAGACAAGAAGAGGACAGCACAAAGCAGCCCCTCTTCGATCATTAACTTGACATAATAATCTATTACGCCCCTCTAAATGGAAGAAAACGGAATCTACAGAACCCCATAAAGAAAATCAAGTAACATACCTTGCGTTTCAAGGAAATTTTTACTCCGCGTTCTTTCGCTTCCTTTCGCAAACGTTCGTTTTCTTTCACTCGTCGCAGAAAGTCTTCGCGACAGCGACTGGGCTTTACGTGCTCCACTCGAACGTTAATGCGCTTTTCAATTATTCGATGCCTTCACGGAATAGACTTTTCAAAAGGCGAAAACAATGAAAAAGCTAAGCAATTACCTCACGCGCTTGTTCACGATTATGCCTAAGCCGTGTGGCGTAACGTTAAAGACGCGACCGGTTTTCCCATGATAGTACTTATAGGGCATTCCTTTTGTA